CAGTTAAAGACGATATCAGTGGGTACAAAGTACAGTATTTGGGTTGGTGATCCCATTATCCCCAGTCATGTTTTTATTCGCTTTTGATTTTGGGTTTGCATGGTCAGAAGCCTTTGTCCCAACTTCCCCAGCAAAGTCTTCCCTCATATGATGAAAGGTTTTATTCCCTTGGTGTGCTAAGGTGTTGCTCTTTTTACAGTATTGGCACTAGTGTTGACTTCTTGATCTCTCGGGAGGGTTATTCCAGGGCATCTCTTGTTGGAATGAGGGTTCGTGGTGAAAATTTTCAACCCGCAGTTTCTTTTCCCTTGGGAGGTAGGCTTGAATTCCCCAATGAGGATTGGTTGTTTCGACATCAATTTGCCTTGTTTAAGGTTGATCTTGCAATCTCCAATAGGCATGTTACTTTTGGAAAACGGTTTCTCCGATGAACCCGAAATCAGGGTGTTCTATCCCCATGTCTGTTTGATATAAGCTACAATCAGATTATGTTCTCCTCAGTGAAGTTAATGCAATAGGTTTGGTTTCCGCAATCGCTTTCACCTTTCCTGGATTGATCTTTCTGATTGAAGTTTAGCCCAATGATGTTAGTAACTGAGGCGGTTTCGGTTGTCTGCACTGATTATGTATCCTTTTTATCAGCATATGCACAATAGCACTCGTACATTCATACATGCATCATACATTGCTAAAATCATCATGCATGGACATTGTGTTTCTGACCTTTTCCTGCAGCGCTCTTTGCTTAGTTGAACTTGGTTTTCCCTCTTGAGTTTATTTCTCAAAGGATGTATCTGCACTGACCGTCTTGCTCCAGTTTATTCCTGAATTGGATTTATGAATCTCTGAAAATTTTGAGTTTTGGTTTGTGCATTTATTTTGCACAGGAAGACTTTATCTCCTCAGCAGGAATGTCATGGCATGTCCCTGGGAAGTCATATTGTTATCCCCATAAAGTCATTTCTCTTTGCAATTCCCCTAGACAATAAGTGGTAGTCTCTTTATTTGAGATAGGTTACATAGTACCCTTTCCAGACAAATCTCCTTGGTTAAAAAAGAAGTCGAGACCCGTTCTTGGTAGAACGCCAGAATTCTGGAAAACTTGATATTTTCTCTTTCCACCTTCAGTGAACGTTGGTAGTACATCGGCAGTGAACGTCGGTGTTTGTTATCTTTTTTCTATCTTCAGTTGACGTTGATAGTTCATTGTTAGTGAACGGAGGTGGTATGATATTTTCTCTTTCTACCTTCAGTGAACGTTGGTAGTACATCGGCAATGAACATCGGTGTTTGTTATATTTTTTCTATCTTCAATGAACGTTTATAGTTCATCGTTAGTGAACGGCGGTGGTATGATATTTTCTCTTTCTACCTTGTGAACGTTGGTAGTACATCGGCAATGAACGTCGGTGTTTTTTATCTTTTTGTTATCTTCAGTGAACGTTGATAGTTCATCGTCAGTGAACGGCGGTGGTATGATATTTTATCTTTCTACCTTCAGTGAACGTTGGTAGTACATCATCAATGAACGTCGGTGTTTGTTATCTTTTTGCAATCTTCAGTGAACGTTTAAAGTTCATCGTCAGTGAACGGCGGTGGTATGATATCTTCTCTCTCTACCTTCAGTGAACGTTGGTAGTACATCGGCAGTGAACGTCAGTGTTTGTTATCTTTCTGCTATCTTCAGTGAACGTTGATAGTTCATCGTTAGTGAATGGCGGTGGTATGATATATTTAGAGAACGTTGGTAGTACATCGGCAGTGAACGTCGATGCTTGTTATCCTCCTCTCTGATTCTATTCTCGTGGTTTACCAGTGATTTATTTTCCTGGTGGGATTTCTCTTTTGCTTCTGCATTTTGTGTTGCCTCCCCAATGCTACTTTGTGTCTCTTCTGTTCATATGCATTCATATGCATAAACACTTGCATGGCATCTTAGGGCCAAAAATAGGGTTTGTTTTATATTTAAGTGTGTTCGATCACGTCGACACGAAGATTTTTAACCTTCGTATCTCCGGATAGAAGAAACTTAAATAAGGGCAGCTGTTGTACCCCAATTTTTGCCCTTAAGATCCCTTGATCATACCACATTGTTTCAATCACCACAAAATCACATTAGGGATTTTGGTTCTTCTCCCTATCTTTAGCTTTGCTCTTTGAGAAGTTACCAAGCACATTGACTTGTTTGCTTTCGCGATCATAGATATTATTTTCTGATTTTTCTCTCTAATTAATAAAATGCAATATTAGTTTGTCTTACTTGTTGATAATGTAGGTGAAAGCAATGAGGTTTAGCAAGTTGCTTCATGGGTTCATGAGTTTATTTCCATGCCCTAGTCAAAAGCTTAAGAGATTCAAACCTCACCATTGAATTTGATATGAAATTGGTTCTGGTGGCCATAGGTCCTCATCATCATCCTCAACAATTTCTATTCACAAAGGAAGAATATTGGCATAAAAAGTTTGTTCAAATTGGCAAAGTTCCACCAAGCATTCTCTTGATTTAGAGGCTAGGGTTTTGGACTTCAAAGGGGCATATCTTGCTCATATTTTGGTATTTTTGAGTGATTCCAAAAACATTTTTCTCTTCAAAGAGTTAACAACAAATCACTTTAAAAGCTCCAAATAGTTTTCATGTGGAAGGAACTTGGTGAAGAAGAAAGATCACAAGTCATCCAGTTGAATCCCTAATTTTCCATATGTGACTTCAAATTGTCATAACTTGGCCAATTTTTATCACCTTGAACCCATTATTTTTCCATGATGATCTTAAGGATGTGTACTTCATGCCTTCTTTTATATGAAAAGTGAGAAAATGGATGGAAGTTTCCTTAAGAATGCAAAAGATTATAGGTCATTTCATGATTTTTGGCTAACTTCAACAAGTTATAACTTTCTCAATTTTTGGAGATTTTTAGTTGTTCAAATTGCAAAATGTCATTCAAGAGATCTACTTCATTCCATCTTTTTGGGTCAAGAGCAAATTCTAAGTGGAAAGCCATGTTTGGATGCAAGAGATTATAGGTCATTTTTAAAGAAGGATTTGAAATATTTCTAAGTATGGAAAGTCAACTCTTTTTCTCCAACTTTGACTCCATGTAATTTTCAGCTCAAGCCTCCAATTGATTCCATTCTTTTTCCATTGCAAATCTTGTTACCTCATCTTTATAAAGCATCAAGAATCATGCCTTAAGACTCCCTGAGATGGAAATTCCATTGTTTCAAAAGTGGTAACTTGGAATTGAAGTTTCCCTGCAAGTCAGAATTTGAATGTCATATTACAACCTCTAAACCTCAAATTAGCACGCGTTTTGGGTCTAAACATGATTAGCCAACTTTCCCAAGTGGATTAGTGCATCAAGATGCAAGAATTGGATGAGTTTTGGTGAAGTTTAGATCACACTTCACTCGTACCTCAGGTTTGCACAAATTCCCTCCAAAACGCATCATTCACTCTTCCTTTTGATCCCATTTTCTTCCCTATAAATAGAGGGTCATCCCCCATTCAATTCCTCAAGCTTAGATAGCCAGAATCACCCTGCCAAACTTGCTTCAGACCTCAGAATTCAGTTACTTCATATCCTATTCTCAAGCCTTTTTCAATCCATTTTCTCCATCAATTCACCTTCGTTGATCTTCCCTGAAGCTAACCATACCATTACATTAAAGAATTGTGCCCTATATTGCTCCATAGAAGTCCAGTTTCAGAGCTCTGCAACTCAACTTCAATATGTAGATTCCTTCATTAATTCTTCAAAACTTTGGTACCATTGTGTTGCTCTCATTGCCATGGTTCTAGTTGCAACGCTTACTTTTATCTGGAAACACGTTTTGACCATGAATTTTCAAATCCCCTTTCAAAACTTTCTTTCCAAATTGCTTGAGTTACAGTTTATATAAAAATTGCGCGAGGGTATGGTTATCTTCGTCTTGAAGAGACTAAACGAATGACATAGGTCCGAGCTTCTGATTTCACAGTTTGAGAATGTTGCACCCCAAAATTTGCCCTCCGAATTTCCTTTATTTTTGGCTTAGACTTTTGCTTTCATCTGCATATATTTCATTAGGTCACTAACATGGCATACATTTCATTCAATATAGCTCTGAGGTTCAAAGTTCAGTGGTTGTGCGATACTAGGGTTTCATAGTGGTTAAGGCGCTCATATCCAATAAAGGACTTCTTCTCCCTCAAGCAGCAAGGCTATTATCTTCTGATAAACAACTGATTGTAGGTCATTCTGGTCAAGAACTCTAGGACGTGACCTAGCATATGTGGGCTTCGAATCATGACGTCCTTTCCTATAAGTATGCTTGTCATTTGATTAGGATTAATGACTGTGACATGACATTCATCTACTCCTCAGTTAATCAAATTAGGTTTTGTTGAATCATGGTTCAAAGATGTTTCATTCGGAGATTTCTCTGTGCATCTAAACGGGAAATCAAGATCGTGAGGTGTGGTTAACATGATTTCTTTCTCTTCAAGATATAATTGCTTTTATCCAGTCTCAGCAAGTGCTGGGGTTTTTATTTGTGCAACTAGATTTCACGTCAAGGGAATTCTTCTGTGATTCAGACTTTATCATCCCTCTGTAAGATGTTCCTTACGACGCTAATTTCAAGTTGAAATAACCGATCGCTAAGGGCTGGGGATTGAATTGTGAAGCGTGGTTCATGACCTAAGATATGAATTCATAGATTTCTCCTTAACCAAGGCAATCATTGTCCTCATCATTGTCATTTGTTATCTGCGATGCGAGTAGGTTTGGATTGAAGTAGGTTTCTCATACAAGAATTCATGCAAGGTTCAAGGCATTCAAGGCAGGGTTTGTTCAACATGGCATACCTGGTTGATGGGCTTACAAGCTCTTATGAGACCTTGAGATGCATAATCATGGGTCAATTTCAAAGATATGTGGATAAGATCTGTTGACTTCGGTTAAAGTAAGTTTTAAAAAATTAACTTTGGGACCAAGGTCTCCCTTGAATTTTCATCTAACATGTGTTGGGAATTCGAGTTGCATTTGAAGAATGGTATGGTAAAGGAAAAGAAATATTGGTTCCAAAAAGAAAAAATTCATTAAAAATCAGGGTTTCTATTCATTGATAAAAGTTCAAGTAATTGAAGATCAGGGGAAATAAGGTTTCATATTAATCTTGATCATATTCTTTCATTATCATTTACATCCATCTTTGATGATTTAAGGTCGTCAATTAGGGAAGGACTTTGTCTTGTGGATTGAATCGTGAAATATGAGGCGTGGTACAAAAGGCAAGGTTGTAAATTTTTTAGGATCAAGATCTTATTGACTATTCAAATTATTTGTCATTCAATATTATTTGGGTTCAAGATTGAAGTTAGGAGTTCATTGAGAATGCAAGTGTGATTTGGATTTGAAGTTTGATTTGAGTTCAAGATGTTCGAAAGTGTTTGATTGGATTAAAGTTGGCAAAGAGCCTTAAGTATTGGTCATATGAGTTTCTTAGAAGGTAAAGTACAGACTGCGAGGTCTTGTTTCAAGTCGGAGTTCACACGCATTACAAAGACGTTCATCGTTATTCCAGATTCAAGTTGACATGTGTTCAAAGTTTATTCGAACCCTTTCATTCATAATTCAAGAAAATACTATCCAATTCCATTCAATTTCATTCAAGTGTAACAATACCTTACAAGAAAATTTGATGCTTTCATGTCTTCAAGCATTTTTCAAGACTTTGTCATTTAAACTCCGTCCTTAAAATTCATCACCCAACATTTCAAGCTAAAAGGTCATTTATAATTCACACTATAAATTTCAAGTTCATCCAAACCAAACATTCATCATAAAATCATTACAATCCCATTACACCAATATTCTACAAAGAAAAAAAAACTGTTACAAAATACACTTGAACAAAATTCTTTAGTCCTAAAGGTGCTAAAATTCCATGAGTAAACTTCTAATTCCATGCCATGCCAAAGTTCTTCATCTTCAGTTCATGACCTGCATATTCATACAAAAAAATCCAAGTCAATACAAGCAATCATGCCAAAATATCCTATGCTCATACAAATTACTCGACACATGAAAAACCATTAATTAACCAAAACCAAAACTCAAACACAGGGGATTTCACTGTATCAGAAAGATTGAAGACTAGTGTACATGTTAATTTGGTTTTCTATCTAATTGTGGGATCTATTGGCCTTTTCGGAATTATTCTTCTCATTATGATGCACAGGAGCTGGAGTGGGAGTCTTTTGGGATTTGCTATGAATTGCTCAAATACATTCGGACTTGTTACGGGTGCATTTCTTCTTGGCTTTGGTTTAAGTGAAATTCCTAAAAGCATTTGGAGAAATGCCGATTGGGCAACTCGTCAGAAAGTTCTCTCCCACAAAATTGCCCAAATGGCTGTCAAACTTGACGATGCTCACCAAGAACTTTCAAATGCTATTGTTGTTGCCCAAGCAACCTCCAAGCAGATGTCTAAGCGGGATCCTTTGAGACCTTATATGAATGTCATTGATGATATGCTTACTCAAATGTTTAGAGAAGACCCATCCTTCAAACCACAAGGTGGACAATTAGGGGAAAATGATTATGGGAGATTATTAGATTAGATTACTCCAACCAAACAGTGCCTTCATTGCAATTCTTTACTTCGCTTTTAAACTACATAATTGCTTGTGATTGAACTGTGAAGTTTGAGGATTTGTTGTGTCATGCCAATCAATTTACAGCCAAGTAATGAATTCATGATACCTTCTGAGGATATGGTATTTGGGTTTGAATTCAAAAAGCTCGGCTCAAAACGGCATAGCAGTTCGAAGATAGCTAAAGAAAGTTCTGCATTGCCATAATTAGATCGAAGTCCGAACCCAAAGGGTGCAGATAAGTTGAGGTCAAAGAGTGGTTTTGGTCCACAATGCAGTGATCTCAAACAGAAAGCAAAGCAGGATGTGGAAGGAAACTTTCGGAACCAGGAAACTGCAAAGAGAAGTGGAAACGAACGCGATGAGCTTGTAAAACACATGTCTAATTTGCCAGGTTATCTCCTGCATAATGATAGATTGGAAAATGTTCAAGAGAAAGCATTCAATGTTGGTGTTCTAGATTGGTCTCGACTCGAGAAGTGGAAGCACAAACATATACCAAAAGAACTAACTAATCATTTCACATCTGTCAATAGAGGTGAATAGTCATCAAGAATAGTCACTAAATCGTCCCTCAGTGCTGGTGGAAGGGAAAAACTTGACGACACAAAAAGTTTGCGAGATGTCGGACGGACCAACAAGGAATCAGTTGCTGGAGTCAGGTCCCGATAATAGTTTTAAAAATGACCATAGCAAGCCAAGTAATATTGTGCTGCTCTATCCACATGAAACTTCCGACTCAAGTTCTTCAGATGATTTCCAGCTTTCTGAATTCAGAACATCATCAGATGAAAATTGTCCAGAATCAAGCCGAAGTAATTTATCATATGTTTCCGTTCTTGAGGAGGATTACATTGGCAATGTAGGTCCAGAAATCCGACTTTCAAGTGGACGCCGTTCAGTGGTTGAGCATACATCTTTTTCTGGACCAATGCAACACAGCGTTAGTACTACTTATCTCAAGATGAATGTCTCCAACGCCAGACTGTACCGGTTTCCCACCAACATTCTCAAACAAATGAAGTTCAGAAGTCTGAAAAAGATCCTGTCTTTAACCATGAGGTAATCAAAACAAATAATCCCAACTGTGAATCACAGTATGCAAAATTGCAGCAGATGAGTAATCAACAGGCCACAGTAAATGAACAACCTAGTAGCCAAATCAATCGTAGTAAGCAGGTGCCATTTGGCTTATTGATCCCTATCTTGATTCCCCAACTTGCCAAAGATAGAGCAATGCAACTTACAACATTATTTAACAAATTGAAGAAAGATGAAATACCCATAGATCATTTTGTACGGCTTATGAAAGGGATTGTGGGGGATCAGATGCTTAGAATAGCATTGACGAAAGTGCAACAACAAACAAAAGCCAACGCAGGTTCTTCTGGACAGCAGCACCCTGTAAGGATGCCAACGGTTACTTCCAGTGGAACAAAATTTAATGATCCCCATGCATTAGCACAACTGCATCAGAGAAGTATGAATCCTGTTGCAGACCATTCTCATAATACTTCTTCAGCTATCCAAGTGAAGAGTGAACCGACCTATTCAACTATGGACATTGGTGCTAAAAAGTCTCTGGAACATGATGTTCGAGTTGTGCAACCAAATCAATTACCATCATCAGGTTCTAATGCCGTCAGTCAAGAAAACTGAAAGATCCTCAGTTCACATACAAGGCCTTAATTAGCAGCAACAGCAGCATATACATTTCCCATCGACATATGGAAGCAGTGGTGGTAACTATAACCATTTTTCCGGGACAGCTACTGGTTCGTCATCTCTCAGACCACAACCTCATCCTCATGATTCACACATAAGGCAAATTCCTCATCAGAATATTGGTTTAAATCACTTGGGTGTAGAACGACAAAGTTCTTTCACTGATCCTAAGAGAATGCCAGGTGGATTTGTGTCGACTGGTGTAAACAATACAGCACCACAACAAACTTCAACTTCTTGGCAACCTTCAGCAGAACAAAATTCTGGCTTGTTTTCATCTGTTTCATATGTAAAAAAGGAACCTAACGACCTTTCTATTGAGCAGCAACATGATAAAAGCATCAATTTGGCAGAAGATGGCAGGGAGAGCTATAATCTTGATATTGAGATTGATCAAGGGACTGTTGGCACATCTCAACAAGCTGAAAGTGGATTGCCAGATGCATTTGACATATCTCTGTCTCACTTTGCTCTCGTTTTAGCACTTGAAAATGAATCTGGTGGTATCCAAGAAATTGTACTGGAGGTTGACATCCGTCTAACATTTAATTTGAGAACTACTGGGATGAAATTGACAGTCGAGCTTTCTCGTTTATTAATCCTCTCACAAGTTATCCACGAGAGAGTGGAAAAAGAAATGATAATTCCTCATTTTTCTTCTGTGACATCAAAAGGTTTGGCATCTCACCTTGCATCAGCAGATCCTTTTTCAAGATTTCCAAACTTCAGTAAATTGAACTCAGATATTGACGCAAGTTCTTCAAGAGACCTTACTCCTGTTCAATTAAGTCGGCAGAACCAAATTTTACAAAATTTAAGAGCTTCTATATCACTAGAGAAGCCAGATAATGATTCGTTGCATTTTTTCGGGTATTGGTTTGGTGTTGGGCGTCTCTCAGGTTTCGATATGACTCTTTCTGTATATGAAATCCAGACGATTTCCTCAATGGCCTCCTCATTTTCTGGGACATCCAGCCACAACACAACAGAAGCTTGAAGAATGGGAAACAGAAGACTAATTAACAGCTCATCAATTTCCTCCTAACAACTTTATAACTCTCTAACTACCTCCAAACATAATTCCCAACTAGCATAACCACCTTGTAACCAACTCTCAATCTCACCCTTCAATCCCTAACAAACTCTATCCAAATCAATGGTTCAGATTGATTCCCACATAACCGTTTCCTCCCTCAATTACCTATATAATCCAAACTCCCTCCAATTTTGAGGGGACGGGACGATACTTTCTCTTTTCCAGTTTCAAACTTCATCCTCTCTCCACCATTTTTTTCTATCCTCTTCCATCAACACGCTTCATTTTTGACCCAGAACTCAAAAAGTTTTCGGAATTCTCTCTCTTTCTTCTCTAACCAATACTCTTCACCCTTCAAGCCACTCTTCATTTTTACTTACTTCTGAAACCCTGCTTCATCTTCATCAAATCATATCTCTGTAAACTCAAATCACACTCCTACGATCTCACTCAAACACAACTCACAACGACAACCGCAACAACAATTTTCACAAAAGAAATAGAAGAAAAAGAAGAAGAAGTCGTGCAAAGAAGTTAAGAGATATTGTACCTGAAACTTCTTCAGATTTTTCATTGTCGGCATCACCCTCGAAGAGACACCGGGTGCCTTCTCCGGTTGGTAAGCCTTCTTCAATCTTTCATTCTACATTTTATGCTCTTTGTCGAAGAATGAAACTTGAATTTTAGTCCGCGAAGAGGTTGATGGAAGAGAGACGTGTGAACCGAGGCGGATCAAAAACGAACAATGAAGAGAGGAGCAGAGGTTTGAGATACGAGTGAATTGTGAAACCAAAGTAGAAAGAACGGGTCGGAGGTGTGATTCGGCACCATTGAGGGAAGAGGAAGAGGACTTCGTTTCTCTTGAAGTCTAACCGTCACACGATTTGGGGACGCTGGGAATAAAATCACGCCATTCATTTGTTTGTTGTGTTTTTCTAATTCCTTTTATTGATAACAGTGGAGATACACGAAGCTGAATAAAAGGTGGATGGATCTTGGTATGATCTTAGTGGACCGAGGTATACACCATTCAGGTCCATGGCCATTATTTTCGGGAGTTGGTTTTTGGTGAGGTATAAAATATTGGGTAGGGCCTGCGAGTCAATGTTACTACAATACACACCCTGCTTCAGACTCACACACCCCTGTGTAGAGTTTTTCTAGCTTTTCTTTAGCCTTTTCTTTTCATAGTCGTTAGATAACAATTTTGTTAATAAAAATATTGATATAATAAAAAACCTAAAAAATGTTAGATTGTAAGAGATATTTTTAGAAATTAATTCTTGATTATCCGATTACTCGAGACTCGTGATTCACTTTTGTTTTTGAAGATTTGAGTCTTATGCATGCTTATTGTGTGATATACGGATATGCTTGAGGTTTCGATTGTGATTTATTTTCACATCAATGATGCTTCAACACTTATTCCGAGCATTGGATTTCTAATTCTTTTCTTTGTTGATGCTAGCAGCTCATGAGATCATCAAGTTTCTTTGCTTTTTACTTTGCTCTACGAGCTAGTACTCGTTTGGTATATTTTATTTCCACTCTCACCCTGCATTTATCACTTCCCATAGATTGCATGGTATGATGACTTTAGGTTTAGAACTAGGTTAGTCTCCCTGTGACTTTTCTTTTTTTCTTTTCGCATATGCATTAAAAAAATAAAAACTTCTTTTTCTCGTAAGCTTCAAAAATACAAAAAATTTACTGACGAGAATCATATCTTCGTTAAGTATGTGAGACGATAAGCGGGTCTCTTCTCGACCTTATTGATCTCTTATTCTAAGCTTTGGTGTGGTTTAAGTCTCAAAGACTCATTTCATGAATAAGTAGAGAAATGGCTAAAATCTCTCTCTTGAGGTTAACTAGCTATTATCTACAAGCAAAAACACCAACAAACATAAAAATCTTTTTGCCCTCGGGCCTTTCTTTCAAATCTTTTTCAAAAGAGCGTATTAATTCACTTCTGTGCTGACGCGTAAATCTCCAAAGGTCGAGTTGCGGCAGAAGGCGAGATTAATACTGTTCGTTAAAGAAAATACAAACAAATAAAAACACATAAGCCGAACTACGGCTGCTCTGATTCCTCAAAAAGGATACGTAGGCATTGGGGTAGGGCCCAGGCGAGCACAATTTTATTTTCCCTACATTTTTCCTCCTTTCTTTTGCATGCACTTTCCCTTTAGCAGTAATAAACAGTAAGCATAGATTAAACACACCCATAAGATAGACAACAAGAGTGGATACCGTAGAGTACTACGGGCGTGTGGGGTGCTAATACCTTCCCCTCGCGTAACAGACTCCCTTACCCTTATCTCTTGGTCGTTCAACCTTGATTTCATCCTTCTCGGGTTTTCTCGATGTTTACCTTTCCCTACCTGTGGGATAAAAGACGTTCGATGGCGACTTCATTGTTTGATGATTTTCAGCCGGTTGTTTCAGCTGGCGACTTCACTGGGGATAGGTCGACCAAATGCTGGTCCATCCCGGAGTCGCTCCTAGCTCTTGCTTTCTTTTCTTTGGGTGTCTATTTTTATGCTTTCAGTTTACTCATTTGTACATGTTTGCCTGAGCATAAGTTTGCATTGCATTTTATTGCTTTCCCTATTTGTTATCTATTATGCTAGACTATGTTTTCCATGTTGGGTGGGGATGTTACTATTGAGGTAAAAGGCCCAGTACCCAGGCCAGAGTGCACTTGGACACCTAGGAATAGAGTGGGGGCATGACGGCTATAGGACATGGTCCGATTAGTGCATTCATGTCATATACCACGCTCGGATGAGGTTCAATTGAAAGTACTTTCATCATGCATGTCTGTGTTGCGATGATTTTACTTTCAGGCGGACCCGTGATTTTCGACTTACCATTATCTCACCCTGACCTAGTCTTCACACGTGAGTGGGGAGGGATTTATCATTACAGGTACAGTTGGTGACTATGTTCAAATGGTTACTCGTGCTCAGTTGGTGACTATGTTCTGATAGTGACTGTTGTTCCGTTGGTGACTATATGGGTCTCAGATATTTTTTTTCTGGATTCGGTATTCAGGATGTTTATCTAGTTATGTTCCGGACCTTTGATCCTGATATATTTTACTTGGTCAGAGATTATACAACGGTTAATCTTGGTACTTAGTTCCATTGTATGCTGAATTTGGTTCTGAACCTTTAATCCTGTGATATCCATATTATTCAGCAGATTTATACAGCAGTTATCCAGAGGATTATACAATTGTTATGCTGAACTTTTGAACTTATGTCATTGCACCTTGCATCATAACATGTTTATTTTACACAAAAAAGGAAGGTGAAAGATTATAAAATTAAAAAAAAAAATGTTTGAACATGACATTGCATCCGCTCATTCACCTCATGCATCCATAGCAGGTACTCCGAAGGTATTCAGAAATGGGGAATCCTTATTCAGACTCGGTATTTTCTTTTCAGAGCTGCAAATCTTGACTTCTCGTCGCTTCGTGGTCAGATTCAAGATATGGAACAACTTCGTGGGGAATTGGACGAGATGAAAGAACAGATGGGATTCGTGGTGCTAGACATGCAGGATTTGGTCCGTGGACAAGAACTCCTGAAAGAAGAGAACACTCAGTTGAAGACTCAATTGAATTTGGTTATGGAAATTTTGGGGACAATGTTGAAGAAAGAAGATGTTTCTATGCCTGCCACAATAGGAGTTACCATTCCTCCCCATAACCTGAGGACTCTTGTAGGTCAGGGAGTATCTCCTCTGCAACCGTGCATTCCAGGATCCTCCCATCCGCAACAAGTTGTCACTTCCCGAGAGGACCCAAAAGGCAAAGTCCGTCAGCAGAGGCCAAAACAGCCTGAACGAAAATTTGATCCTATTCCAATGTTGTATGCACAACTGCTTCCTCCCCTGCTAGAATTACATTTGGTTAAACTCCTAATTTTCACTACACATGAAAAACGCCCTCATGGCTTTGACGACAATGCTAGGTGCGATTTTCATTCTAGGGAACCTGGTCATGATACTGAAGATTGTGTAGCTTTTAAGCATCAAGTCCAGGACTTGCTTGATGCAGGGACAATTCTCTTCACTCCCGAAGGTCTAAGTGTGCAAATCAATCTTATGCCAACCACTACAAAGAATAGGGCTACACCTTCTCCTCTTCAAAGTTCTATCTCACGATCGGAGTCACGTCATCCACAACCTATAATCCCGGAAAGTTCTCACCAGCAGTCGTTTGTAAGTTGCGGAAATCGGTTGGTTAATCAAAACCAGAATGTTCCTCGTGTTCACTTGGCTCAGTGTGCTACTCGGCAACAAACCTATCAACAAAGACATACGCAACAAGGTAAGCAAAAGGATAAGAAGCCTAAGAGGGTGTTCGACATTGTTCCTTTGACTTATGGCCAGCTGTTCTCTCAGTTACTCAAGCTTTCCTTGGTGGAACCCAAGCCACTGAAGCCTGTCATTCCTCCTCGTTCTATGGATTCCAATCCTAATGTGCAGTGTGATTACCATGCTGGGGCACTAGGTCATTCCATTGAAGACTGTTGGGCTTTCAAAGAAAATGTGCAAGACCTTCTTGATGCAAAGGCTATCAATTTCGGGCCAGTCAGTTAAATTTGAGGTCTCCTTCGACTCAGTAAATGTCAAGATTGCCAGTTCATCATCTGAAGCAACAAGTCCATACCGAGACTGGTCTCCTCAACGTAGTAATTTCTAGTTTCATTTTCAATTCTCATTTGTAATCTTTCTTGCTTTGGTTCAGTACTTTCTTGTATGCGAAACTTGTTGATTCTTGAATATTAATCATAATGCATTGAATATATTTGTCTTAAATTAATCCATTCGTATTCACTCATTAATGTTTTTTCTTTACTTTTTGATACTTAACTCTTGTTAAATAAAAAAATATCTTAAGGGAGGATGATGAGTAATATACCAAAAATTTCAAACGGTGTGCTTTTGAG